CAGAAGAACAACCGCAAGCAATTCGTGAACAATTATTTTCGGGCAAACAAGTTTCCTTACATCGAGACTTGCAAGTTCATTTTCTACGAAAAAGAAGCCGATCCTATTGCTTTCGGTGGACAATGGTATCATGTTGAAGATCCAATACTCATTGACGTGGGTTACTTGTCCGATGATTCTTCGAGCGACGAGTCTTTGATGGACCAAGAGCAAAGAACATACCTTCAATTGATGCAAATACACTTCCCAAATTAGAATTAATGGGAAATTGACTGGGACGCCGCACGTGAGCAGTGGGATACCTGCATGGCTTCTGCCGGGAACGATGCTATTGCTGGGGACGATGGCATTGGGAGGGATGATGCTATGGCAGATGAAATTTATGATGATTTGGATGACGGTTTCCCATCCATGTTCGAGGGATGATTTGGATGAGGGGTTTACATCCGGGTTCGAGGTTGCTTCGGATGTCACATTGCTAGGCAATTTGCGTGCATGTTTCAAAATGGTTAATTGTAAAATGAAGCATGAGTTGTGTTATTTTATTAATGTTTAGAAGTTATGTACTAATGTTTTATGTTTCGTATGTGTCTCGTGTTGGAACTGCCGGTCATGTTAATGGTGTCGTAATTTTGTCTGTAATTTAAACAATTTGCAAGTACTTATTCTCCTAGTCTTTTGTGTTATCATCATCGTTCTAGAAAACATTTTGAAATTTTGTTGAATTAAATTTAAGTGTTGGTTGTTTATATGATGTTTTTTTGTGGAGATTAAATTATGAGCGGATCAGCCGATATTTAATATAAATCGGATTCCACTAATTTTTTGACATATGGCACTCTTAAGTCATAACTCTTAATAAATCACGCATATTATAATTAGAGTTAGAGGGGTTATGGATTATGCTGGATTTTTTTTTCTTTTTCTTTTCCAATTATTAGAATCCTAATTATATTTTTATTTAAACTATCCATTTTTATTTAAACTATCCATGTGTCAATCATCCTATGACATCCGATTTTCCTATTAAAACAGGCCATCCGGTCTAAATTTGCACTTGCATATGAATAACTGAAACTGGTTAATATCGAAGTGATTTCCATCCTTACCACAAACTAACATAACGTTCAACGAAAATGGTCATTGCATAAGCGACGTACAAGTTCATGCATTGTTAATGAAAATTGCATAGTTTGACATGAAGAAAAAAAATTACATAATAATCTGAAATTTCCAATAAGAACATACAAAATATAAATGCACGAATTCAACGTACAACTTATATTAGACGAATTATCCGAAAGTGCACTATGGGGAAGAGTTGGATGCCAACAACCGATTAATACATATCAACTAAACGCCATTCGACCCACCAACACGACCCTTAGTTTTTTGTTGAAGCAAATGACAAATTTCAGCATAACTAACAACCATACCATTAGGACGACTTTTATATTTGGGGATCATATATTCTCTCAGTTTTAGTGGCCTTGAATCATTGGATGCTCGACAAAACTTGAATTAACAGTGTTGTACTCCATGTTGAAAGAACCTTCGGAGTAGGCAAATGCTGCGAGGCAAACCCAATCATTCACGTTTATGCTACTAGAGTGAAGATACATGGACCACAATGGAATGATGTATTGGTAAGGTTGTCATGGATTTTTTTTTTCCTTTGCATGGAACGCCTAAGGAACAAACGCAATCTTAACCTCGTCCTCGTCCTCCGAAGACACCACAATAATCTCATCCTTATTTGGGGTGGATCCAATAGCAGGTGACATGAATATGGCCTGCAACTCTTCCCAGTTACTTTTCTCATAACTACGATACACAAATGCGATCGTGTGTTCCTACAAATGTAGTAACAAGATCATTGAGTGCGTATAAAATATAACAATATGTACTTTATTTTTGGTTTAGTCGTGAAGTATAAAGTACTTGCAAAACTTCTTCCATAGCAAATCCGAGGCTATTACAACGTTAGTTGATTCGTTTGGTGAGACCGGGAAGAGACAACATTCAATCAAATGCCGTGTACCTTGCCTCGAGATCCACCAACTTATTGAAAAAATATTTTATTGAGAAGTACATATTGTGTTTTTTATTGATTAAACTTTTGGCCAACCATATTTTTTATGCTAATAGCAAGCACCGCGTGTTGCACGTGATTACGTATAATTTTACTTAAGATAGAACTTATTATTAATTACTAAAAGTTACATACTATATTTTAAAAATAAAAATTATTTATAAATAAAATTAAATAAGTACAAAACTTCATGTTCTACTTATGTATCAAAACGTATGATGAATTAAAATTATTTCTAAAATTGCGATCAATAAAAATATAAAACCACAAGAAATTAACTAAAACAAATTGCTATATATCAATTCATGCATGGAAAACCCTCAAACTAAAATTTCTCTTATTTTGTTGATAGTTGATAATTTTCATTATCTTGAATTTCTTTGCATCATTATTGTTTGAAACAATTAAGTATTTTTTCGTGTTACTCGTATGTTATGATCACTCTAGTCAAATTTACCAACAAATTCCTTAGAGAAAATGTAAATTTACTACATCAAGGCCCTGATATTTGATGTAATTACAGCTAGATTGTCTCTAATTTGTAAAATTGCATATCTCTCCCTTAAATTTTGTTATAAGGGGCATAATAGGAACTACAAAAATATTAAGAAACAAAAAATATTCATGCTTTTAAAATTGGTAGAGATAGAGATAGAATTTTTTTCCCACAACAAAAGTAACTGTACGTGCTTCGTAAGCCAACACCTGGATGACGGCGTTGTCAATTTTTTCGTCCCAATCTAAATCGTACAAACAATCCTCTTAACGGAAGATTATAGACTTTTTTGGTGCAATTTGAACGATGGAAAGGTGATGAAGGTGAGTCGAATTTAGTGGCATTTATATAATGTCAGCATGCATTTAGTGATACATGACAAAATGTATATATTAGTTCTATCATCTATGCATACTGCAATATAATATTCTCATGTTTGCAGTCAAGATATGCAACTAATTTGAGATGCATGATAAACAAATTAAACACATGCATCATATATCTTCTGAAGATGTGGGTTTTTTTTTTGTTTTTCAAATAAAATAACCCACAACCAATCTTATAAATGCATTGGATAAATTAAATGTATTATTGTTATTTATTCTTTGGGTAGCTTCTAGAATAAGATTTTTTATTGAGAAATATTTTGCCTTACAATATTTAAAAAGCCAACACTTGTTATTTAATGAATTTGTGGAATTAATGGGTCTGCCTAAAAGCAGCCGGTACTTAAATTTGTTTAATTGGACTTATGAATTGGTTGTTTCCATTTTCAACTTTGGCCAACAACTTCTAGTGACATTAATTATGTTTTCTGCAACTAGAAGATTAATAGTTTTCTAACGTTTGACTTCAACTAATGGAATTTTGCCCAAAACAAAATAGGAAGTTAATTATATCTGACAATTCATAATTTCATAGGAAATATATTTTGTAGAACCTGCACTTGGTGAAATACATCATGTAATTATATATCATAGATCTACACACACTCATATGTATGCATACTTAGTTAAGAAATATTTATGTAGATTTATAGTTTAAACCACATGGTACATTTCAGCAGATGTAGAATTTCATAAGTTCGTAAGCCCGCAATATGGGACTATTAAATGAAAAGGAAATTGGTTTTTAATCTTCATGAATGACCAACATCAATTTATTTGTTAGGCTCACTTCAACAAAGAATGAGTCAAGTGGATTAAAGTCACTAAAAATGAGTTAATTTGATAGATAAATATGGATTAATCATTTAAGTGGGTCAAATATTTCATGAATGGGTAGAATCTTTCAAAATTACGTTATATATATATATATATATATATATATATATATATATATATATATATATATATATATATATATATATATATATATATATATATATATATATATATATATATATATATATATATATATAAAACTGTTTGTTAAATTGGTACAAAATTGGGTTAATTTGGTACAAAATAGAACTAGGTCGGATAATAAAGTACCAATTAAAATACAGCGGGTAATTATTAATCGTTAATCTGCACATAATCACACACATCCAAGTATATGTGTGCTTAGTGAGAAGTTATTTTATTACATCAATAATTAATACTCCCTCCTTCCCTCAATACTTGTCACTTTTGCCATTTTTTCATATTTCAATTTATTTGTCATTTTACTATTCCAATGAATAATTAATTGCAATTTTTCAATTTTGCCCTTTGTCACTCATAATTAATTGAATTATAATTATTTAAAAATTAATTAATGGCATGGGCATTGTAGTGATTTACTATATTTTTTGTTATTATCTATGCATATTTATTGAATTTCTTAATATATGTGCAACTACCAAAAGTGACAACTATTGAGGGAAGGAGGGAGTAATAACCAGTGTATTTCATTCAGTGTAGCATCTCAATAACCATCGAATAAAATAGGTTAAATCTATCAGAATTTGGTCATAATTGGATAAAGGTTTCCAAATTTGATTAAAGCGATACTACTATCTGATTAGATTTATTTTTGGTTGAAATGTATATTAAAATTAAATGAAATTGTTGGAATAAAAATTAACTATCTAAAATTGTCATTGAGAATAAAATTTAAACCGTAATTAAATTAGTAAATAAAATAATTCATTACTTCATATAAAAAATCAATTTTATAGAACACCTCACCGTGGAACTCTCGTTGTATGGAAATTGTAAAATTCAACCAAATCTGTATAAAGCAAAATATTTAATTATGGAGTATATTAATGGGTTTGGCAAAATCGGGTGTCGTTAGTTGTCTATTTTGGTGGGCCATCATATTTTATGTATCCTCGTACTGTTCGATCATATTCATTCTTGTATATAAATAAGAGCTTGCCCTTATTCATTTTTCATCAAATTAACCAAGAGTGATCACACACACACACACACACCTTAATATATATAAATTAATTAAAACAGTTTAGGGTGAGTAGGTAATTAATTATTAACTAGAGATGGAAATCATACCATCGGTGATTTTGAAAGGGTGCGAAGAAAACGGGATGCCGGTGATCGGAATGGGCACATCAGCTTACCCGCCGGCGGATTTGGAGACAACAAAGGCGGCAATATTGGAAGCCATAAAGGCAGGGTACCGCCACTTCGACACCGCCTTTGCGTACGGTTCGGAGAAGCCGCTAGGCGAAGCCATCGCAGAAGCCTTGCGCCTCCACCTTATAGAATCGAGAGACGAACTCTTCATCACTACCAAGCTGTGGGCTAGCTTTGCTCATCCTAACCAGATTGTCTCTGCTTGCAAAATGAGCCTCCAGTAAGCCTTCCAAATTAATTTTTATTTTCGTCTTTTTTTAACTATTATTTCGCGATTTTTTTTGTTGCATGTGATATTGTTGTAAGATTGCGTTTTTTTATTCTTAAACAAGGCATACTTTGTTATACTAGGAAGTATTTTTTTATTTATTAGAATATGTTTTTAGTATATCATGTCAATCACATGCGGTCGCGAATCCAGGATTTTAGCTAAGGGTGTTCGATTTTTTTTGTGGTGATGACAAACCTCGAAAAAAAAAAATAATAGGGAGGGCGAATTACAAAGATTTGAAGGGAGTGCCCTCGAATTAAATTTATTTATTTTTTTCTCAAAAAGATATTCTAAAAAATAGAACAAAATAAGAAAAATTGAATGGAGTATTATATTCAAACGCAATTTCTTTTCTTTTTTTAACCAAAAGAATTTGAGAAGTACACGAAAAATAGTTTAACTATTTGTAATGAAATATGTTTTGATGCAGAAATCTACAATTGGAGTATGTTGACATGTACCTGATACATTGGCCAGTGAGGTTGACTGAAATGATAAGGAAAACACCAGTTGACGTTGACCTTATTAGGCCCTTAGATGTGGAAGGTGTTTGGCAAAGTATGGAAGAGTGCAAGATTTTGGGGCTCACTAAGTCAATTGGTGTTAGCAATTTCTCTTGCAAAAAAATTGACCAAATCCTCCAAATTGCTAAATTCCCTCCAGCCCTCAATCAAGTGAGACTATTCATTATTTATCTTAGCAAAATTGCCTATTTTTATTTTCAATTTGCATTCCTAAACACATTCCTCATGTTATTTTTATTAACCATAAAATTATATATGTTATATTTTTTAGGATAAGTTACTGATACTCCTTGGGTAAGACTAAATAACTTACAAACTTCTGTAGTATTGGTAATTACAATTACGGAGTGAATGAATTGTTTAAATTAACCTTTTATTAAACTAGCAAACTATTTGTAAATTACCTTTGAGGTAAGGCAAAATATTTCATTTATTCTCCCGTGGGTATATTACATTTACCTCCTTGGGAAAGCTTTGTAAATTACGGTGTTCTTTCTTTTAGCCAATGTGTATAAGGTAGAATAAGTGGAGATTTTGGAAAAATTAACCCTTGAAGTTCGGTCGAAATTTTTATAAGGTCCTTCTTCTTCTTCCCCGAAAAAAAAAAAAAAGGAAAAAAAAAAAAAAAAAAAAAGAGAAAAAAAAAAGAGAAAAAAATAAAAAATAAAAAATAAAAAAATAATAATAATAAAAAGAGAAAGAAAAAGAAGAAGAAGAGACTAGAAGGGGAAGTAAGGACTAGTTGTTGAATTATTTTGAAAGCCTGATCCATTGTCTTAACAGCAAAAGTGGAGACTTTTGAACTCTTAAGAATCGAGTTTATTAAAAGTCCTTAGAGGTGAATTCATTGTTTCAAACGCCTATCTATCAAAATTTGGCGTAATCATCTCAATTCAAGAAGCATAGCCACCTATACCCATATTTCCTACCTTGAACCAAAAAGCCCAACATTTGAAAGCAAAAAAGTCCCAATGATCCCAATAGCTCAATTATTTGATACTAGCCGAGTAAAGAAATTTGGTGAGTATTTGGAGTTGAATATTAATATGTAAGTATAAATTTTCTCAATTTTTAATTTACAAATATGAGATACTTGAAGCGATAGCATGGTTTGTGGTTTTTAGCAATGGTGAGTGAATACGTATCTTTGAATTACGAGCTTGTAATTTTTTGAGAATTGTCATGATAATTGCAAGTTCTGAAAAAATGAAAGTTGACCATTAATCTATGTGATGAGAGGCATTTGTTGAGAGTGTTGCTGTGAAAGTTGCTAGTTTTTGCTTGAGGACAAACAAAAGATCAAGTTTGGGGGTGTGTTAAGTATATATTTTTATACTTTATCGTACCTTTTTATTTGAGCTTTTGGTGTGATTTAACGATAATTGGTGGTTAAATAGTTGATTTATTGTATTTTAGGTATAAATTGAAGAATTGGAAAAGTTTGAGGTCAAAACTGCAAATTTGGAGAAAATATGGGCCAAAAGTGAAATAATAAAAAATATGCTGAAATTGGCTGAAAACAGGCCCGCACGGCCGTGCCAAAATTAGCCTATTTTTGGCACGGCCGTGCCAAATGCTGAATTTGGGCAGAATGTTCGGCGATTCTCGCGCGGCCGTGCGAGAATTGCACTGATTTTCGCGCGGCCGTGCCAAATCACGCTGGAGGCAATTTTGGACTTTTAAACACACAAGGAAACCTAGAATCATCTACCAAGTTGGGGACATCTATTTAAGCCCAAACCAAGCACGAATCAAAGGAGACATTGGACACAACCTTGGAGCGAGAGGAGCGAGAGAACGAAGAATCGAAGACGGAGAATTGACAACTCTTCATCACAATTCTTCTTTTATCTATCTTTTCTTAATCTATTATTTTTATGTTTTTATTATGTTTTTCGTAGAGAACATGCGTAGCTAAGTTTTTAATCTAGGATTTTGTTGGAACCCTATGTAGGGATTGCGAACCCTTTTTCTTGAGATTATACAATTATGATTTTATGATTATTTCTTCTACTTGTTATGATTGTTAGTGCATGAACTTGATCAATTTATGTGCTTTATCTGTGATTATTGGGATTGACTCGACAGAGCTATTTTGATAATTAGACGGTAAGTATAAGAGCCTTCGAGTAGTTTTCACCGGATGAGTGTGTCAATTGCATGTGGTGTCGTAGACATACAGATATCACCTTAGGTAGCCAATTACGAGACTTGTTAGTTAATGCTTTATTCATAATTTGTTTGCATAGACATATAGTGAACCGTTTATGAATAATAGACTCATAATACACGCGACAGCGGGTTATGAGTAAATTAGTGTCTCGGGTTAATAATCATGAATCATATATTTCATAATTGAGGGGTTTTGGGTGAGCAATTCTTGCATAGGGGGAAGATAAAATCCTAGATCCGTTTTATTGATATTCTCTCTTGTTTATTTGCTTTCCTAATTAGTTTAATTTATTTTGTTGATTAAATTTGACAACCTTGCATAGGCTGGATAAAAATCATAGTTGTTAGAATTTGGTACTTAGGATTAGGTAATTCGAGTATTCCCTGTGGGATCGACATCCGACTCTCACGAGTCCACTTTTACTACTTGTTTGCGATACGTGCACTTGCGTGTTAGGTATTTAGCACCCAACAAGTTTTTGGCGCCGTTGCCGGGGAATACAGCTAAATTATCTATTCATTCTAATATCAAATTTGAGCAATTTTTTTTACTTCAGCCATTTAATTTTAATTTTAATTTTTTATTTTGATTTTTTTTTTTTTTTTGTTTTTGTTACATGTCTGGTTACAATGTTCGGGCACCTCAAACGGGATATGAATGGCTTCCATCTGACAAATACCTCCAAAACACCTATGATATGCCTCCGTTTTGTTCTACATGTGGTGGAAATCATTACACCGATCAATGCTGGGGATCACCAAAAGCGGCGAATTTCGTCGAAATTACCAACAGAGGTTATTGGAACACTTATACCAACACATACGAGCAAAGCTTTCAGGACCAAGATTTGAACGAGTTTCAACATAGAGAGCCACAATTTGATGATTTTCAAAATTATTATCCATCGCAGCAACAAACCACTAATGACCAACTTGATTTGGTATCCATCATTGGCGAATTCATGAATTCCACTCAAGCATCATTTCGAAACATGGAGATACAACTGGAAGAGATGACGCTCAAATTAAAATCTGAGTCTCTTGAAAATATTCCAGATGAAATCGGCAATGGTTACAT